AAATATAGATTATTTAAATGTCTGTTACCAAAAAAAGAAAGAGTTGCTTTCCAAAATTTGGTATCCATTTGGTATCCATTAAGTCAAAGTTAAAATGTTTAACTTAAAGTTCTTAAAACACTAAATTCATTTTCTTGCATTAACATTTTTGTCCTCGGTATAGACATGTATGGCAGAACCCTGAACTTAGAGCTAATAAGTTGACACATTCTACTTTAAATTGGACCTTTACTGTTAATTAAAAATGAAGACATGCTCCAAAGCAGAAGTATTGAGTCAGAAATTTATATTTCTAACACTTTAAATAGCTGTAAGATTTTTGTTAGATCATAGTATGAAAACTTGTCCACTGGAAATCATTATTGAGTTTTCAGTACTGTATTCTAACGCAGAAATGTTCTCTAATTAGGTTAGATCTAGGCTGATTTCATTCCTATTAAGTCCTAGTACATGATAGTTTATTAAAATGAGAGTATATAGATAGCGTTTGTCATGTCATTTACTAATTAATTATTGTGAAACAGTTTAGAATTTCATAGCACAATATAAATACTCTTGCTATTTTTATTAGTAATAATGGAAGTTTTTAACTAGTGACATTATTCAGATGAATGAACATCCAAATGTTTGCACTTCATCCAAGGGAAAAACTGAACAGAGAGGCCAAATTTAAGGCTTTTTGAATGAGATTATTTTTAAAATAACTGTCAACTTGGAGCACACTTTTAAAATCTTGATTAAGAAGTATCTCTTTATCCCTAGTATTATAAGACTGAACTCCTCGTTTCTCTGCATTAATAAATAATTCCTAAGTCTGCTAGAGAATGTCCCCCATTTTCAGTATAAAGTAGGCAAGACATTTAGGAAGTGGTATTAATATATTTGATCTTCGTAGTACATATGAAATAGTTTACACTAAACATGTAAAATACATTATAATATATATGGAAACATACTTGTATAGATTGTATCTAAGTGATAAAAAATACACCTTGACATTGTCTCAATAAAGTATAAGGTATACTTTATACTCATAAAGTATCCAGATTATTGGTAACAACTAAAAGCATTATTATGGGCCATGCTCTTTATATTACCTCATTACTTGTTTATTAATATTTATTCCTAGTATATGCCTGACCAGGTTCTGGAATCTTGAGCACAGAAGTGAACCCAAAACAGGCCAAAAATCATAGAGACTTCCCAGCCACCTCTGTTTTCTTGGCCTGGGGATGATAGACAAAACAAATGATGAGTAAAATATATTCTTTAAGGGATTATAAGTGCCATGGAGTTTTTTTGTTTGTTTGTTTTCATTTTTTAAGGCCATGAAGAGTAAAATAAGCCATTCTAAATAAGGTTGTCAGGAAGACCTTGCAATATTACATTTAAGCCATCATTTAGAGCAGATGAAGGAATACCCCATGTTTATCTGGGGGAAAGAGTAATACAGGCAGATGAAATAGCATATGCCTAGTCTGATGTAGACTTTTGCCTGGAGTATTTGGAGAACTATGAAAAGTGTATGACAGGCGTGCTTGAGGGAAAGTGGCAGGAGGTCAAATAGGTTGTAAAAGGCAAATTGTAGATCTTTGTACAGATTTTGGCTTCTACTTAGAATAAAGCTAGAAGTTCTTGGAGGGTTTTGCGCTGATGATTGAAACAGCCTGATTTACATGCTAAAAGCATCAATCTGTGTTGAGAGTAGGCCCTTACAGGGCAGGATAGAAGCAGAGTTCAGTTACAAGTTTCTTGTCATAATCCAAATGAAAGGTGAATGGTTAGACCCAGGGAATAGTTGTGTAGTAAAAAGAAGTAGATATATTTTGAAAATAAATCCAATCAGCTTTGCTGATAAATTAGGTATAAAATGTATGTGAGACATAAGTCAAGGTTGTTGATATGGGACTTATAACAATGAGGATAGAGTTGCTGAGAATGAAATAAAACAGATAGTGAAAAGTATGGGCGAGAGCGATAGCACAGCAAATAGGATGTTTGCCTTGCACACGCCTGACCCGGGCGACCCGGGTTTGATTCCTCCGCCCCATCTTGCCCACACAGCAAAGCCTGGCAAGCTACCCGTGACATATTTGATATGCCAAACACAGTAACCATAAGTCTCACAATGGAGACGTTACTGGGCCCACTCAAGCAAATCGATGAACAACGGGAGGACAGTGCTACAGTATGTATTTGGAGGAAAAGAGTAATATTTTAACAGTAAATCTGAGATACATAGGGATATCAGTATCTTAGTGTGAGGGTTTGAGAATGGCTGGGGTAAAACTTACAGAGCTCCAAAGGAATATGTGTAGAAAGAGAAGAAATGCACTGAACTGGTTTGAGGCCTGGGCCCCTCCAATAAAAGGCACAGAGAGTTGGCACCTGGTTGCATATGCTTTTCATACCCAAGCCCTGGTTCCACCCAAAGCAGCACCTTGAGGTTCCTTGTGTGAGCAGCCCTCAAGCTGAAGTAGTCCCCAGAAGCCTCAGGTGTGGCCCAGAAAGAGGGTGGAGAGATAGATAGGAACCACAAATGAAAATAGAGCAGAAACAGTGAGGTGAGAGAAAACCTGGGGAGTGTGTCATCTGGGAGGATAAGCAGAGAAAGTCTTGAAAGGAAGCTGATTTTTAATGGTTTTTATCTACTTTACTGATAGGTTATGAAATATCAATGTTGTGTGTGTGCCTCACAGCAGAGGTATGAGGGAGCATTGTTACTCTCATTATCACCATTTTGCAGCAGGGTTGAAGAGGCAAAGATCACGTAACTTGACTGAGATCACATGGCCAATAAACAGTGAAGTTGAGATTAGAGCGTAATGCCAGGCTGTAATGGATAATTGAATTTTGCCAGAGCCTTTGACATTTTTGGTTTGTTTTGGGGCTATTCCCAGTGGTACTCAGAGCTAACTCCTGGCTGTGCTCAGGGGACCATATGGGTGCCAGGGTTGAACCGGGATAAGCCACATACAGGGCAAGTGCCCTACTTATAGTACACTATAAGTACACTTATTTTTTGACGAGCCTCTGATTCTTGAGATTATTTAGTTTTGCCTCTGATTGTTCAGTTATTTGAAGCCAAAACCTTTTCTGTATATTCAAATGCATATGTATGTGTATAGACTATATATACATGTTCATAGAGTCTATACACATTCATGTAATGGTAGGATGTACTAGGTCAGTCTGGTTCAGTGTGGGTAGTACTGCCCCACTCCCTAGGGGAGAGATGCTGGAACTAACCAGGAAAATAGTAGTAGCTTTGGATACTTTTGGGGGGCAATTATCTGGGTTGATTTTGGCAAGGGGACACTTGAGTACTTGAGAGGGGTTTTTAGTTTGTTTGTTTGTTTGTTTTTTCTGTAGAGAGAGCAGTAGGATAAGTAAGTTTGAGAATCTCTGGGAAGTGTCTCCAACAGAGCTGAAGAAATTGCTTACCTCTATGCCTTGCCCTGAAGAGAGGAATTGATTGTATGAAGAACAAAAATGTTATGGCAGACCTTTCACATATCTTAAGTTTCATGTCATGCTTTGAAAGAAACATGTATTTGATTCAGGATCATCTCATTTTCTTTTTTTTTAAAAAAAAAAAAAACCCTCTAAGATGCCATAGTAGCAAGGCATAATGACTCATCTTTCAGATGACCCTAAAACCTTCTCAGAAATTCTCTATGTAGAAAATATGTTTTTGATGCATTTGCCATATTTATTCTGAAATCTCTAGTTAGCTCATTTCATATGATTTTGCCATTTTGTGCTGGAGAAATAGCTCAACAGACAGGGCAGATGGTTTGTATTCAGGAGACCTGGGTTCAAATCCCAACTCCACAAGATCCCCCAGAAGTGCTGGAAGCAATGATTCCAGATTTTGAAAACCAAGTTGCCCATGGGCAATCGCCAATTCTAATGGAAGCGTCTCAGGTTTTGTCTCACTGGAGCTATAGCACAGCGGGTAGGGCTTTTGCCTTGCATGTGCCCGACCTGGTTTCAATTCCTCTGCCCCCTCGGAGAGCCCGGCAAGCTACAGAGAATATCCCGCCCATTTGGCAGAGCCTGGCAAGCTCCCTGTGGCATATCCGAGATGCCAAAAACAGTAACAAGAAGTCTCACAATGGTCGACTGGTGTTTGCTCAAGCAAATCGATGAACAGCGGGAGGACAGTGCTACAGTGCTACATTCTTCATGTAGCTACCAGCCAAAATGATTTTATTTACCTCTACATAAATATATATATATTTTTTGATCCACACTCGGCAGCAGTGCTCAGGCTTACTCCTGACTCTGCACTCAGGGATCGCTCCTGGTGGGACTAGGGAGCCATATGTGCTGCTGCAGATCAAAGCAAGCACCCTACCTGCTGGGCTATCTCTCTGGCCCCCATTTCCCCCCATTCTTCCCCATGTTCTCCAGCGTCACCTCTCTCGCTCTCACATTCACCTGTCACACCTGGCTCTATACCTGATATTTTGTCAGCTTGGGTGCTCTTTCTTTGTTTCATGCCATTGGTCATGCTGTCCCATCTGCCTTGGAGTCTTATTTGACTCACACCTGATTCTCTCAGAGTAAAATTTTATACATTCAGGAATGGTCTCCATGACAACCTTCACTCTTCCAACGCTGGGTCCCCCTCACCACTCAATTACATTACTCTCTCCATATCTGTTTCTCTCTCTCTCTCTCTCTCTCTCTCACACACACACACACACACACAAACACGCACACACCACACACGCATTTCACCAGCCCATTAGTGTTCTCTGAGATACCTGACACAGCCATGGGCACAGTTCTGGGATGAGGAGCCAGGAAGAAGAAGTGCCAGTTGACGTGTCCTCTTACTATGCACTTCAGTTAAAGGGTTCTCCCTTGGAATATGGATGACCACACTAAACTTTAGAAGGGAATATTAAGGAATCGCATACTTAAAAAGAACACTTTGGAGGAAAAATTTACTATAAACACTTTGTAAAACCTTACAAATACTCCTTTTGCAGACCAAACCTGGGCCACCCAAAAAGCCGAAGACTCCTTCTGGACAGTCAGCTTTAATGTATTGCTACAACTGTGGACAAGAAGGCCATTTTGGACATGTAAGTTTGAGGGACATTTACACATGAAACTTTCTGTTGCTTAGAGAGTAGTTGGTGAAAGTTGGCTTTAATTTTCAGCATGCTTCTCCCATCCTGGGAGGATCTTTCCAACACCATTTGTTTGGTGCTCCCTTCTCTATCTGAGCTCCCTTTTCCCCTGGCATGTGTGCCTGGCCTCCAAGCCATGGAGTAAAATTCCTGGTACTAATCTCAGCCATTCTTGGGTGTTAGTCTCCTATTTTGTTTCTTTATGTTTCCCAGATTGCCACCTATTGCCTCTTTTGCAAACCACAACTCCCAATAGGAGAGAGAGAACAAAAGGGAATGCCCTGCCACAGAGGCAGGGTGAGATGGGGGGAATGGGGGATGGGAGGGAAATGGCACTGGTGGAGGGATGGGTATTTGATCGTTGTATAACTGAAACCCAAGCACAAAAATTTGTAAGTCTACAACTGTACCTCATGGTGTCTCACTAATAAAAATTAAAAAAAAAAAGAAAGTTGGCTTTAAAACTAATGTAATTCTAATATATAAATAACCCCCATATATATATATCTATGTGTGTGTATATATGTATATATATATATAAATTTAATTCTGATGTACCTAGGCTACAACAAAAGTGATAATCTAAAATCAAAAGAAAGTTCCTAAATAATATATTTTCTTTTTGGCCTTTGGTTTTTGTTTTTGGGGGGTTGGGGCAGTGTTGGGGGTTTTGCATTTGGGTTTTGGTTTTTGATCCCTACCCAGCAGTCTGGTTCTTCACTCTGGACTTACTCCTGGCAAGCTCGGGGTACCAAATGGGATGCTGAGTATCAAACCTGAGTCGGCCACGTGCAAAGCTAGCCCCTTACCCACTGTACTATCACACTGGCTGCAGATAATTTATTTTCAACTGATTTACTTCTCCCATTCCTACCAGAGAAACAGATGTCAGAACACATTGCTCTGAGTGTTTTAAATATATATGAGTAGATTAGGCTCAAAAAATAGCTTCTAAAATCATTTAGGCAAATATAGTCAGAAGAAAGGCCACAGTTCTCATGTTCTCATGAATTCTTTTGGGGCAAGGAGGTGGAGGGAGCTTCTTATTATACCCACTTAGTAGTGCTTAGAACTAACTCGTGGCTGTGCACTCAGGTCATTCCTCATGGACTCAGTGGACTGTATGGCATGTCAGGGATCATCAGCCCTGTGCAAGGCAAGTGCCCTATCCACTGTACATCACTCATGCCCGTTCATGAGTTCTTTGATGTGTTACTTTGAAACATCCAAATTGTGATTTGGGGTTTTCTGTATCATTCTCCCGGATCTCCAGTCTATCCTTAGACAGTGTTGAGTAAAATCTTCAAGCCTCCCTTGTAAACCCTGACAGTTTACTAGTGGGAGGATAGAGTTGCTGTGTCAGCGCCCTGCATACCCCACTAGTGACTTGATTCTTTGTTCAGCCTGCATATCCCTGAGCCCCAGCTGGAAGGGTCAAGCTGTGTATGTGAACTCAGTTTGGAGGTGTCAAAGCAGAAGAAACTGTGTGAGGTGAGGCTGAGTCTTGAATTCTGAGATTGGCTCTCACATGGCTGGAGTTGCACAGCCCAGGGAAAGAGAGAAGGCTTGGGGGAAGCAGCAGTGCTGGCTAAATCTATTGGCAGCTCAATCCTTCCTCATTGGGGCAGCAGGACTACGAAGGAAAAAGGTGCTACATGAAATTCAGCATGAGGTGCTTCTGGTCCTCGGTCCTAATCTTGCCTCTCTGGTCTCTAGTTTCTCCACCTGCAAAGCAAAGAATTTTTCCAGGCTGGAGCGATAGCACAGCAGTAGGGCATCTACCTTGCACGCAGCCGGACCGGCTGAGCTGGGTTCGATTCTTCTGCCCCTCTCAGAGAGCCTGGCAAGCTACCCGTGACGTATTCAGTATGCCAAACACAGTAACAACAAGTCTCACAATGGAGATGTTGCTGGGCCCACTCGAGCAAATCGATGAACAGGAGGACAGTGCTACAGTGTCTTGAGTCTACTTCCAATACAATTAAATCAAGTGTTGATGCAGATGGAAAGATCCTATGGTATAGTTCATTTCTGATTACGTCAAAACCTAGTTAGAGAATACCCTGATTGTTTTGTTTAGGGGCTATACCCAGCGATGTCCAGGGCTTATTGCTGGTCCCGCACTCAGGAATCACTCCTGGCTGAGCTTGGGGGACCATATGTGGTACCTGGGATCAAACCTGCATGAGCCGTGTGCAAAGCAAGCACCTCACCCACTGCACTGTCACTCCAGCCCTAGAGAAAACTTTTAAAATATCAGCACCTCTAGGTCTTTTCAGAACTGTGCATTCCTTCTTATTGCCTGAATTCAAGTGTGGCGGCACTGTGTAGGGAACATAGCCACAGAAGCAGTCCACTGCCATACAGTCACGTAGATGTACAGTTCAGACTTGTTCACCTCCTTAAAGCCAAGGGGTATCATTTCAACCTTCGTGTTTGTTCAATTAGAGGAAAACAATTATAGTTGAACACGTATTGGTTACGAGTCACTCCTGTTAATGTAGATAGGAAATGTATTAAAAGCACTTGGAATTTATCCCTGAAATCTAGATTTAGATCATTTTTAATTTACAATAAAACAAATTTGGCGGTCTCATTGCTGCCATAGATGAAGAACTCTAGATTATCCACACTAATGAGGAAGATCAGTGGTGTGTCTAATCCAGAATAGTAGATAAATTATATAGCCAACTATCAATGTTTGTGCTAATGGAGAGGACCAGCGATGTGGATAATCAAATAATTTACATTTAGCTTCAGGAAAGATGGCCCTGTACAACTCTATATAGTGCTCTACCCATGTAGAGCAGTGTTGCCCAAAGTGGGTGAAATTTGCCACCCTCCCTCAGACAGAGTCGGGTGTTCTGGAATGATTGTGGCGGGGAGGGATCGCAGTAGCCTTGGGCATAATGGAGGGTACTTTCTATCTCTTTACTTGGAGACAGTGGTTTCCATTGGGGCACTGAATAATTTTGTTTCTACAAAGGGGGCAGTTGACTCAGTCAAGTTGGGGCCTCTGGACTAGACCACATAGGATCCAAATAGGAGACTGCACGTGTAGGTGGCTAAAGATATATGAGGATTCCCTCCTCTTCAGATTCAGATATGAAACTGTATAGATGATAATAGATAAGTAGCTCCTTAAGGGGCTGGAGTGGTAGTACAGCAGATAAGGTGTTTGCTTTAAACACAGCTGACCCAGGTTCGATCCCTGGCATCCCATATAGTCCCCTAAGCACTGCCAGGAGTGATTCCTGAGTGCAGAGCCAGGAGTTATGGGTGTGACTCAAAAAAGGTGAATGTGACCCCACCTTCCCTGATTCCCCTAATTCAATCATAAGCTGCATGGGGCAATTGTAGTAGGAAATGGGAATCACTGTATAAGAGATATCTCCAAGGGGGCCAGAGAGATAGGTCAGAGACCTGAATGCAGGCTTTGGATGCTGGAGGTCAGGCTCCTTTCCCAGAACCAAATGGCTCCCTGAGCACCACTAGGAGCGACCCCCAGGCTGAGAGCTGGAAGTAACCCCTAAGCACAGCTGGTTGTGCCCCTCTCCCCCACCCCCAAGAAGCATCAAAACAATAACCAAGCAACTGTTCCAGGAGCATGTGAGAGGGTGTGTGAGGTACTAGGGGCCACAGGTGTCTCAGAGTAAGTGTTGAATGAGCAGGACAGGAACGATTTGTATAGCAGGGAAGGTGTCTGCCTTACACACAGCCAATCTGGGTTCAGTTCTCACACATGGTCCCTGATCAGGTACAGAGCCCCGAGTAAACCCTGACTATCATTGAGTTTGACCCAGAAACAACAAAAAAAAAATGGTAAGCTTATTAAGATTTCTAGTATCTTTTTATAGTCAGCGTTCACTCCTAATGTTTTATGCTTTGGGTCTGTGTTAACCTACTTGGCTACTACAAATAAACTATCACAGAGTTTGTATGTTATAAGTAGTACAAAATTTGGGAGGAGGAGGGATTTGGTTCACATCCAACAATACTTGCGGGGGAGCTGTCTCTGGCTTTGTGCTTTGGAGTGACCCTTGGTGGTGCTGAAGGAACCATGTGTGATGCTGGGAATTTAAACTCTGGTCATTGCCACCACAACCATATGCGTAGGCCAGTGCCTTACCTCCTGTACAGTTTCTCCAGCAGCAGAAATTCATCTTGGAAGTTGTCTACAGCCATGGCCCTGGCAGAGTCTGTTTGTGAGGGGACACTTCTCCATCGCTGATGCTCTCTTGCTGTTTTCTTGCATGTCAGGGATCTGTGCGGTCTCCACCCATCTATTCTGTGTGTCTGCCAAAGATGCGCCACTTCAGGGGTCCTGATTTCAGCAGGTGCACTTGGTGGAGGGTGTACAGAATCTCAGAACCTAGTAGAGCCTTAAACCCAGATATTTTGTGGCTATCCTTCTGAAAACTCAAAGACATTTTTTATGGAGGTACTGTGATGGACAGTGCTGTCAATGATTTGTCCTTGCACACACTATTCCAACACCACCCCCACCTTGAGGCTACATGCTGGCCTCCAACAGTGTTCCCAGATCCCCTCCTATTCACCTGTCCCCCAAGTTCAAAAATCTGGTTATTTGAAAATCTTTTCAAGGGAAAAGAGCAGATCTCTGAGAAAACTGACTATCCAATACAAAATGAAAAGGCATAGATAATAAGTAAATTGTGTAAATAGTTTAAATGCAGAATAATGTTTAATTATGAGACCACTGCATAATTTTATAAAGTTCAAAGCTAAATCCAAAAGAAAAATAGGAAAACTGACAGTTCTCTATAAAATACAAATTAATGAAAATGACTAGAGAATAAGCCATTATTTCTTCAGGGGCTGGAGAGTATATAGCAATTAGGACCCTTTCCTTGCTCAAGACCAACCTAAGTTCAATCCTCAACACCTCGTATGGTCCCCCAAGCCCCACCAGGAGTGACCTCTGAGCACAGAGCCAGGAGAAACCCATCGGTATCTCCAAGTGTGGCCCAAAACAAAAAATTGAAAAAAAAAAAAACTAAGCCTACTTGAACCAGTACTGTGTAAGCAATTGACCCAGCCTGGAAGTTGCTCAGTCCCACTCCTTTCTCTCATGCAATACCCCACACTATTACTTTTCCAGGAAATGAGGCAAAAAAAGGCCATCTTTCCATCTGCATTAGAGTGGCCAGAGAATGCATCATCGGCATTCAACACTCAAAAGCGTATCCATGGAAAAGGCTTCAGCAAATGCTCCCCTGGGGCACTAGACAAATCCAGAAAATTTCCACAAGGAAGATGGCACTTAGATGTCCAGATGTGCTCCACAAAGCTGTCTGTCCTAGAGAAATAGGCTGTTTCCCATACCTGTTTCAGGCACACTTGTCAGAGAGCCAGAGTGAGGATGGACTCACTGAACAGTATTTACTAGTCACCTGTGTGCTGATGAATGATCACCACCTTCAAGACTGTGGATGAGAACGAACCAGTGATTGTCATATAAAGTTGTAAAAGCCGCAAGAAGTGATTTAGTCACCAAAGGGTTCCCAACTGCGGTCTATCAGACCTCGATAGTTTTGTAATTGAATTTTTACAAGACCTTTATTCATAAGCAGATAATCTGAAAGAACATTATTCAGTTTGCTCTGTGAAACTATTATAAAACGATAGCCATTTCAAAACATTTACAGAATATAATTTTTAAGTCAGTGCTTTAAATTTAAACTGTTATTTATTAGAATACTCATTAGTTGTAAATATAAAATCATGACACTTGAAAACAATGACAACTCTAGAAAGAGAAAATCCATGGAAACAAGGAAGAAATGTTGTACCAAGGATTTCACTTACATCAGTGATGCTTTAATTTTAGGGAGAAACTGAGGGAAATTAACATTAAATGTTACATCTGGATAAAGCTTAATGGTAGGACCAGCTTTCCATGACTTTTTTTTTTTTTTGGGTGGAAGGGGTGCACACCTGGTGGTGCTCAAGGCTTACTCCTGGCTCTGCACTCAAGGATACTTCAGGCAGGGCTCAGAGGACCATATGTGATACCAAGAATTGAATCCAGCTTGGCTGCATGTAGAGCAAACACCGCTATACTGTCTCTCCAGCCCCTCTAAGGGGCTAAGAGCATTTTGAAACCTAGACATAGCCTGCTACCATTTTCTCCTCACTGTAAGAATTGCTGCCCTTGTGAGCAGTGAGCATTGGGCTAAAATAAGCTTGCAAACTATTTATGTAGAAGGAAAAGGTCAAAGGACATCAGCCACATTTAGGGTGGAAGTAGAGTTAAAGGAGAAGAACAAAGTAGAAGCACTTGATGGAAGGGTTTTTGAAGAGAGAAATAGGCAAAGGTTTGTACAGTCAAAAGCCAAATAAAATAAACCCTCAAAACAGGTATAAGGCTTATTCTGTGGCTCTCCACCCTCTGCCACCCCACCCCAACCCCATCATTCATAACACAATCTGGGGAGGAATTTCACTGGGAAGATTGTAGGTGGTGGGGGGATGGAAGAAAAAGGGTTTCGTAGGTAAAGAAGTAAAGGGGAAAAACTAAGCATGAAAGAGTAGCATGTAAGGATGATTCGCTGTTGATCTGATGGAGGTACCAGTGATGTGGGGCTCACCTCTAAATACAGTGACTTGGAGTCTTGCCAGAAGATTGTCTGCACCATGCGACTTATGATGTCATTTCAAATATCATTTGCAGGAGTGTACAGAAAGAAGAATGTTCAACCACATCTTCCCAGCCACTCCATTCATCTACTACTACGATGACAAATATGAGATTCGGGAGAGAGAACAGAGAATAAAACGAAAAGTGAAAGGTATTTTAGTAGATTGCTTGTCAATCGCTTTGCCATAGTTCCTGCACTTCTTTTTTTGCACTGTACTTTCTTGCTTTAAAGGGTGTTGGTAAGCACAGAAACCGCCTCCCCAACCCAAAAACTTTAAAACACCATGATTTACAAAGTTGTTCACAATACAGCTCTTTCAGGTATTCAGTGTTCCAACACCAGTCCCACCACCAATGTGCCCTTACCTCCACCAGTGTCCCTAAGTTTCTTACCCAACCCCCAAGCCTACTCCCTGACCAGGCTCAATTCAACTTACTTTACATTGTATGTCACAACCTATTTCTCTTAATGGTGTTGCTGAGGATTTACTGAGCTGTTAGGTACGAGTTGGGTCTTCTGTGTTATTGTTTTCACTCATTGAGCTTAGTGGACTTCCACTCACTTTTCCCATCTAATATTTTTGCTTCTGCTGGACTGTCATCTCTAAAAAGTTCTGAGGTTTTGTGTGGCCGCATATACAGCTGCATGTTTTAGGGACTTTGGAGCTGGGATCATCAACAGCAGATTTCTCTCCAAGATGAGTCATGAAGCCATGCCATTTCTCTGGCAGTGGCAGGAGCCAGATGTGGGTGAATGGAGCTCTGGGCCTATGACAGGGTGGGACCTCAGTCTGCCCTCATCCCCTGCTAAGGCTCCAAAGATCTACCCGGGCCAACCTGAAATGACTCAGCTGCCAGTGTCACTCTGAGATCAGTCCTGAAGCAGGACCATTTTTCTGGCAGCCATAGGCAAACTGGTTTTTTAATTTCAAATATTTACCACAAAAACTGGAACTTGTTTAGATCCAGAAATTAAGTGCCCACTTCAAAAATCCTGTACTGTAATCTACTCACAAGTGTTTTTCTTACATGATGATCATTCTAGAAAATGTCTAGAAAATATACGTATGCAGTTTCCAAAGACTTCTTTGAAGAGCTGGAACTCTTCCCTGTGGCTAATCCACGGTTGATCCCCCCAAGCCCCACCAGGAGTGAGCCCTAAGCACAGAGCTGGGAATAAACCCCAAGTACTACCAGCCCTGAGTACCACATGTGGCCCAGAAATAAAAAAGAAACCTTTGAGATATTTTTTTCCCCAAGTAATTATTTTTCCCTTTGCATGTCTCAGTATCTTCTGTAGAAAGCTTTCCCTGCTAGGTGGTTCCTGGAGTTCCTCTAGGGAATCTTAGATTCTTGGATACCTGAAAGTGATTTACCAAGTCCTTTTCTGGCTTCTTGGACAAAGTTATTCTGTGTTTTTCAAATTGACCTATTTACTTACTGTGTTCTGACTCCTGGCTGCCCTTTTTTTATTTCTAGAATAAGTCCAGGTCATTTTCAAAATGAAAATACTAATTCTGGAAGGATAGTAGAGAAATCTTTCTCAGTGCCTGAATATTTTACATAATATACCAATTATGGGCTGGAGCGATAGCACAGCGGTAGGGTGTTCGCCTTACAAGCGGCCAACATGGCCGACCCGAGTTCGATTCCTCCGCCCCTCTCGGAGAGCCCGGCAAGCTACCGAGAGTATTCGATATGCCAGACACAGTAACAACAAAGTCTTCAATGGAGACGTTACTGGGCCCGCTCGAGCAAATCGACGATCAACGGGAGGGCCTTTTACCTTTTATACCAATTATATAGGAGGAAATTATAGTTCATAAAGATAATGATGAGATGGCTAAATTAGGAAAAGATTCAGAACAAATGTGGTAAAATGTCATGTCTGAATTAAAGAATTTTAGGTGTTTTCTGTTTTATTTTCCTTAGACTTTCTATATTTGTCAGGTTCTCCATAAATGAGTGTTTATAAATGTTCAAAGAAAAACTTTTTTAAGTAGTTGTGTCAACATCTCTTGGCCACAGATTTACTGAGACTCACCTGTGATCTATAGGAATGTTTGTGCTGAAATCTATTAACTACTTGTTTTTGCCCCATATTTTAAAGTATTATGTTTTTCCCTAAGTACATTACTTTGCACTTTATCCTATTTATTATTGGCCACTTCTTTAATCATTGTGGGTCCTATTAATGTGTCAGTGTTTATTTCCCCCTGGAACTCTCTTACCTGTTCCCCAGAACATACCATCAGACACTTGTAGTAGGAGTGCCGAGTCCTGACTGAGTATAGCCTCACTAGGTCTAACATCTAGGGATCGGGGTGGGGGTTATCCAGATACACATGTGCATGCACATATGTGCCCAGGCCCGCAAGCCTGCTCAGGAAGAATAATCTCCTGTCCAGTTTGGCATTCACCTATAAGAGCGATGGCCAGACTTTATCTCCAGCGGGTAATTGAAATGTCATATGAGACTGTCAAAAGGCTATTTTCTACATCTTGCTTCCACTTATCTTCAAGGGCTGTCTTATCACTGCAGGAACTTGAATTGGTTAGACATGACTTTCTTCACAGAGCTAAGGTGATAACTGCTGTCACTGGTCCACTGCTTAACCTAGTTAAACTCTTAAGCAGAATAAATAATCACTGTGTTTCTGGACGCTTTTCATTTTTCGCAATCAGAAATATAAAACTGCAGCCATTTGATTTTAACATTAGTAAGGGCTCTTTGGAATGACTTCTCATTAAATGTTTGGCTTCCCTGTCATCCGCTAAGTTATTCACAGACCCCATGGGTCTGCATGCTCTGCATGAACTGTATAGCTACTCAGTATGGAAAATACTTCTGTGTCCTCTTCCAGAACTCCAGAAATGTGGGAGTTTGCCAAGGCAGGTCAAGAGACCTCATATGGAAGCCACAGATAAAAAGTGCTACCGTGAGAGGAGGAAGAGCCACAGGTGGTCTCGGGAAAAGAAGGAAACCCAGAAAGAAACGATGCACAGGAGCAGCCGAGAGCAGAGGAAGCACAGGAAGGTGGACAGGTTTCTGCACACAGAGGACGAGGACTTTCCCAGGGGCCCCAAACTCTGCTCTTCCAGATTCGACCCTCAGAAAAACCAGAAGCCTCACAAGTCCTGCCGCCATCCTCATCACCACAAACCACGGGAAGACAGGATGCCCAAAGAGGGCAAGCAAGGCAAGCATAAGAGAAAGGAGAGAAGCTTGGAGGAAGAGGAGAGTGATAACTTATTTCTTATCAAGCAGCGGAAAAAGAAGTCAAAACTGCAGGACTGTTGAGCCACTCAGCCCCGGTGCGTGTGGTCTTCCTTCTCCCACAGCATTTTCATTGTCTCTGATTTCTATAAATGAGTGAGTGATCTCAGCCATACCAAAGCTGCCAGGCAAAAGCCCAGGACATCTCAGTTCTCTGTGTCCAACCGGTGCTTAGGAAAGAAAGCAAAGATAGACTCAGACTTCACCTGTTCACATCTCCTCAGAATCTGGAAACAGGAAGAATTCACTCTTTGAGGGAAAATTTTAGGAATTATTTTTTAAAAAATACAAGTTTATCCGATGTAATTCATCTGCAGTGTGAGTATGAAAATTAAATCCTTTGGGGATGAGAAATTAATGTCTGTATGACAACTCATCAGTCTTTTAACATATCTCCTGTCTCTCCCTCTCTCTTTTTCTCTCTCCCCCTATCTCCCCTTCTCTCTCCCTCTCTCCTTCTCTCCCTCTCTCTTCCTCTCCCTCTCTCTCCCTCCCTGCCCCCACCCCTCTCTCTCAGACATTGGGAAGGATAATAGGCCTTGATATAATATAGCATTTCCTGATTCTGAAGGTGTTTTCAGAATCTTCTTTTGGTCAGGGTATCAAGAGATTTTATTTTTAAAAAAGGAAGTAACAGCATCAATGCCCTGAAGAGTCAGGGAACTGGGTCAGAGCAAAACTTCATCTGATTAAAAAAAAAAAAAAAAAGTACAGAAATACTTCATCCAACATAAATGTTTTCAACAGATTTCCTGAAAGAGGTGAGAAAAAAAATTATCAAAGGCTTTAACATAATCACAACAAAATGGGTTTCTCCATTTTTCACACCCACACTTCAATAAGGCTGTCATGGATACAGAGAATGAATATTGTTAAACTTAAATTTTTATTTTGATTTCATTTTTTTTTAACTGCTGCAAAGGTAAACAGAAATTTTTAAAATTGTGACACTTTTGTACTTACCAAAGTCTAATGTTAGAATAAGAAAAATAAAATGTCTGAAATCAAGTTATGAAAAGGTGCCTGTTATGTCAAACATGCAGCATGGGTGACAAGGATGTATTTGGGTTGAAGAGGTGACTGAAGTGATAAGAACTCCATGGACCAGGGTCAGTATGCTTGTTGCTCACACACAAGCTTTGTGCCAGAACGAAATAAGGTGGAAGCTGTTAACTGGGACAGTTTTATAATTCTAGTACTTGGATCTTTATTTTATTCTTGGTGAAGTTCACAAACTATAGTATGTCTAATGGGAGCTTCTTTTTCCTCTTTGGTGAAGGAAGAAGAATTCTCTCCTAAATCACGTGTCAATTTTAGTTTGTAGTTTTTTGTGTTGGGGGGGAGTTGTTGTTTTTTTATTTGTTTGTTTTTGTGGGGGGTTTTTTTAGTGGTGGTAGGGAGGGCGGGGATCAAACCCCAGTCAGCCTCATGCAAAGTAAACTCTGTCTGCTCTATTATAGCTCTACCCCAAAAGTCCACTGTCTTTAGCCCACCATCTCCCTGGGCCTGTCTAGCTTTCAGCTAGGTCTGTTAGCTTTCTAAGGGTTTGTGAATTGGCTGCATGGCTCCCTACCGTCAGCTGGGTTTGTTTCTGACCCTAAGTGACCAGCATATTAACACCTGGCTAAAAGTGACGGCCATCAGAATTGACTTCGTAGAATGGAAAACCTGGGGGAAACTTGGCAGTGGCAGGGCTTGGTATTGAGGTGGTATGTGTAGCTAGTATGCCTTTGGATCCAAAGACATCTCTTTTGGGCAGAAATGGATTTCCATTATTTTTGTTTCATAACAAAAGTTTATTAATTTGTTTTTTATTGTTGTAGGGGATGCTCCAATGCTGGGTGCTTGGCCTGGCAGTAGTCAGAAGCCACCAGGGTCCTATGCTCAAGGTATCCTGCAAGGTCAGGGTTTGTGCCGACACTGGAACCACACAGCCCAGTCCTTATAACAGATTTTATTTCATAGAGACAGACAGTCTGTTGAGTCTGAATTTCTAATCTTGGTAGTCAGGTACTTTTCTGCAAAAAAAGGGAACTAAGAATACCTATACTATACAAAATAAGGAACATCTTAATTTATAAATTTCCAATTTATAAAATATGAATGTTCTTTAAGTATGAAAATGGAGTGAAACTTTTAAAATCATAGATGTGATTTTATCCACTTCACATCTATGTTAGATAGATTTCTTCTCTAACAGAAAAGTAGATATCCCCCCAAAATAAGGATCTGTAGAGTAACTTGGATTTGAGAAGACCAAATGCCTTTTCCCTCCAGCCCTACTTTCATTAGAAGTGAACAGCCCCCAGTGGCTGTTCTCTGTTCTGGCTCCCACTTGGCATCCTTAGGCCATTGAAAGAAATTATCTCTCCTTTTCTCAATGGGAAGAAAGCCTTGCTTTTACAGACTGTGTTTTTGGCACTCTTCACAAGGTAACATTTGTATTAAGGGGGAAAGTAAAAACAAAATATAAAAAAGCATACCAGATTCTTCCACCCAAAGAGATGACTTAAATTCTTAATGTCTGTCTAGCCGTCCAGACTTCATTCTACACATGTAAACATTGTTTCATAATCATGTACATTTTCCTTCCTGACAATATTCATCTTTTCTCTCTCACGCAATAATGGCATCTTGTCATTGTCTTTTCTCTTTACCGTTGAGATGGTGAGAGAACACTTTAATTTAAAAAAATGTGTGTCTTGGGCTGTAGATTGATTTGACTGTGTGTATATAAAGGGGGCTAGGATCAACAGTACATCAGTAATCTCCTGATGAGAGATAAAAGGCTTCTTAAGGGAAGCAACTGGAAATTCTGCCAACAAAAGAAGACATTCAGGGGCTGGAGCGATAGCACAGCGGGTAGGGCATTTGCCTTGCATGCAGCCGACCCAGGTTCGATTCCCAGCATCCTATATGGTCCCCCGAGTACCTCCAGGAGTGATTCCTGAGAGCAAAGCCAGGAGTAACCCCTGAGCATTGCCACGTGAGACCCAAAAAGAAAAGAAAAAATATAATAATAAGACATTCAAACAGCCTCTCCTTCCTTCAGAGCTATCTTGATCTCCTTCCTTCAGAGCTATCTTGATCCCCTGATATTATCATTTGGAGTACCACTCAGAGAATATTGCTCTCCCACATCCCACAAGGCACAGGACAGCTCTCACTAAGAATGTCCAGCCCAGAATGTCAGCAGGGCTGAGGCTGAGGAAATCCCAGCCAGTTTCTCAAAAGGAACCCTTCTAAGGGGGGTTCAGCTCACTCCCCACATCTGGCAGGATATATCCTCTCCCCAGGGTGGTGTTGGCAAGCTGGGTGGGTCGTGTTCCAGTCATCTGGAATAAGCGCCACTAAGTCCCTGGGCTGAAGGTCTGCAGACTGGATCACTTTGTGGAGGGGCAGGCTGCTGAAGGCTGAACCAGCTGGGGGAGGTACTAGTATAACCAGGAATTCCGCCCGGAGACAAATGCTGGAGCACTTGGGTAGGAGGTTAGTTCTGTCAAGGTATATATTCTTTATATAGGATTATGAGAGCAAAGGGAGTTGGGTAACGGGAAAGCAAAGAATTAGAGACCCTCTCCCAGGATGTGAGATTGGAGAGTGTCAGAGTGTAGGAGCCATCTGCAGGACCCAGGGCTAGCACAGGCCCTTACAGTTTACAGTAGGATAATGGTGCATCATGCTCCCTGTGCAAAGAATACTTTCACAGTTGGTTCAGCCAGAGAAAACCACTTACGTTCCTGGTTTATTGAATAGATATATTCAGTGTGCACAGTGGACATTGTGCATACCCATGCTAAGAAGAACTGCACTAAACCACCTCCTAGCAAAGTGAAGCATTTCCTTCTTGGAAGCATTTCAAGTCCGATAAGAGCGTAGGCACATAAGACAGACAAGAAGAGGCACTGAATCCAAGCTGGGAGCCTTAGAATTTAGATCCCGCAGAGAGGAGCTTTCAGGTATCTGTGGGAGTTCGTTTTTGCTACTTTAACTCAGTTCTTGTTTAAGAATTGTCTCCAGGAGTCAGTAATACACTTCAGTTATATTGGAGTGTGGGCCCTACATGCTTGAGCCCCAAGTTCCATCCCTGGATCCCCCCCAAGCACTGAGCAAGGAGTAAGTGCCCCACAGGCACAACTCGGTGTGGCCTCCCTCTCTCCTCCAAAAAAAAAAAAAATCTGCTTCTAGGAGACTCAGCCAATGCTGGCTGTCTTCACCCTGGCAAAGTGGCTTGCAACAAGTGGCAGCGGTAGATGAAGCACTAAGCATCATCTGCTACAACTGTAATGTTAGAGCACCCTTGCCCTACCTCAAGAGAATACCTGGCAGTTGCTCACCAAAATGGTTTTATATTATTCTGGAATTCAGAAAATATGAGTTTATGCGGATATATTATGTATAACTATTTCCCCAATAAGATGATTATTTGGGGTTGGGGAACCTAGTTCAATTTTAGGGTGCATGCCAAAAAAAAAAAGCATCAGCTTGCAGGACCCACATTTGTAACATGAAAGACTCCAGAATATTCATTGTAGCACTTATAATAGTCACCAAGAACATTTTTGGTGATTTACCCAGCCTCCCTGGGACAACATACGAATAAGAGTAGGAGGAGCTCAGTGATAGAGCACTTGACTTGCATGTGTGAAGTTCTGGGATTGATTCACAGCACTGCCCCAAAAAAAGAAATAAAAATGCTTTGAGTAGAGGGGAGGATGTGTCTGAAAGGGCTGGAGAGCCCAGGTTCAGTCCAATTCTGGCACCACATGATTCCTTGAGCACTGCTGAGAGCAGCCTCTGATCACCAAGCGGAGATTAGGCCCTCCCACCTGACCAGGTTTTACTCAAAAACAAACAAAAAAAGGTAGCTTTATGTGGCACTCGACATCAAACCAGAAAGGGCATAGACTCAGAGTTGGCAAATGAGGAGTGCCCTGTAATTGCCCCAGCGGACTGCTGGAACGTGCCTTAGTTATGGGACAAGGAGAAAAAAGCTTGAAGCCTGAAAAATGTGAAATGAGTTTGTACATCAGGTTCCCAGTGAGACAGGGACTGTGGAAAGCAGAGATCTGCATTGGGTTCCCCTTGAGCCTCAGGCTGCGGACTGGCCTTGGTGTGAGGAAACTCCCTGAAAGGATTAGAGGAAACTATTTCTGGGGCTCCCAAGGGGCAAGAATAATCAGTTCTCAGCAGTGAGAGTGAAAGACTTTGAGGCTCGAACAGCGCTGAGGAACGTTGCTCAGTAACAGGAAAATGAGCCCAGCCCCAAATTCCACTCAGGTTTTGCCGCTGAGAAGCAGGGCCTGAGACAGCCAGTTTCCAAATAACTCAACCAGTACCAAGAACAAAGCTCAAGAATATAAGAATACACAGACATCCAGGGCCGGGTATGGCAAAATCCACAGTGCAACCCTAGCATAATGT